AATTGGCTATGAAGACATTTTCTGCGAAATCGCTGGGCTGTGCGAAAACCGAGGCCGCTGAGGGCAACTCCGATGGAACAGCAACTACGCTCATGCACCGCCTAGCTATTATGCTGTTTCTTTCGTGCACGACACTGTTTACCCATCAACCAAGCAGGTAAACAGAGTGAGCAAGGATGACCTCACCGACAAATACTCCTTAAGATGCTTGTTCTCATTCTCCACCCGGTTTGTTATGTGGCATCCAAAAAGCACAGCATCCCTTTGTCTGTGAGCCGCCCAAGAGTCTGCGTGTTGGAGCCACGTTGCGCACAAATACCGGTAGCATTCCGGGTTCGCAAGTCGCACCGCGTTCAATAATCTTTCAATTAGGGACGCATCACCAGTATATATCAGGTTATGCAGACACGCGCGTAATTGGCTTCGGCGAGCATCAGAGATCCCACGTATGCGACCGCTACGTCTAGCCATGTCCACTTTAACGTGGTACCGGCAAAACATGACCTTCGCATTGGGATAAAAACGTCGAGACGCACGCAACTTAGCAGCACATTTGTCCACCACCACCGTGCGGCAACGTATGCTGCTTGGCACCAAATCCCGCATCGCCTCCAGCGTTTGCCCATAGATATAGTACGTCTCATCAGGTAATACGGCGTAGAAGAAGGAAATCCCTATGCCTGTTACGTCCACGAATATGCAGTGCCATAAAATGTTCCCGCCCTAATTTAACTGGTGCATCGCATCGCACCATAAAACCTCGCCATAACGCTTAACCATTCCACGGACTACAGATGGAGAGAAGAATACATAACGAAGCTGGCTACCCACAGACACCAATCGGCAAACACCGTGTCCTTCCAACATCTTTGTCGCTTCAGGTACTTCACATGAGGTTCTGTTTCGATGACGAATGCGCAGATTACTCAGCTCCATACGAGTTACACGTTTTCCGTACTCCTGACAGATGAAGCGCCTCAAATCCGGCGTGCTATGAAAACTGTCCATCAAACGCAGAAAATCTTTCCCATTCCGCGGTGACAGCCGAGGTTGGCGTGCATACAGCCAGGGGTTACCCAAGTGAAAATCAAGACTATGAATCACGAAATAACTTCCCACGACATAATTACCCCTTCACAACCACCGAGAAACGCGCCTAGCATTTGTAATATTTTTCTACATGCGATAGTTTCCATGTTGAGAAATATTAACTCACCACTTACCACGCGATCCTGAAAGTTCACAATGCACGCAACGGTACAGGATGAAGCCGTAGCCGTCCACATCCGGCAACTGCTTCCGCCTTCCACGCTGGTACGTCGCGGCAGACATGGAGGAAAGTCGGGAAAAGCAAGTCGCCGTTTCAAGCTGAAAACGGCCCAATTGATCCTCAGTGTCTTCAACGCTTTCATACGTCCCAATGACCGAAGACCTGAACAGCTCACTATCATCCACAACCATAGCGGCAGCAGAAAAACAAGTAAGGACACCGGACTAATAAAACAAACATCATACATATGCACCCTTACCGGTAAACATTTCTACGTTCTCATAAATCACACATAATCCCATTCCCTCCGCTCCTTTCAGTTATTTCCAGCTATTTGCACGTCCATCCTCCTTGGCAACGTCGCTAAGAAACCTAGTTGCTTTGTACCATTTGTACCACGGAACGTCATAAAGCAACACAATTTTCCCATAGTGCAATCAATCGGGACCGTTCTATCCGCCACTGGCGCGGTTTCGAAAGCGGGCTGTTCTTTGCTTGGAGAAGATGCAAAGACTAGCAACCAGGATGGTTGAAGGTCAATGGGGGAAGCCGTATGAAGATCGCCTAAAGAGCCTGGGGTTGTTTTCCCTTGAACGGCGTAGACTGAAGGGCTATCTGATAGAAACATTTAAGATCTTGAAGGGCCTCAGTGTCATCGTGCCCTCTGATTTATTTGAGCTGGCTGATTCTGAACACTTGCGTGGACATCGCTTGAAGCCCAAACAGCAGAGGGATAGACTGCACGTCAGGGCTAAGTTCTCCAATCGTGTAGTGCGCAACTGGAATAAGTTGATTTCGGAACTAATGGATTGTGAGACTGTGGTTGCCTTCAATGCAGGCCTAGACAGGTGCTGGCCGCGTATTTTTCCGGAATTAATATAATCTTACCCATTTTTTCGCATTGATATCCGCTGTTGATCATTGTAAAAGCAAAGATTGTTCTCGCTTTTGATTCATTTCTTTTTGCCGAGGCAAGGAGAGGCGATCAAAAGTCGAAGTGCAGGGGCTCCGGTTCGTTTACCGGTACAACAAGCTGGACGCTCGTTAGGAGGAAGCCTGTATCGTCCACGGATTTTGACCTGACCTAAAATGACCTGACCTGTTGTTCATCAGGACAACCTGTTTCTGCGTTCTCAAAAAGTACGGGTTTAATTGGGCACTTGCGCAACGTGTTTGTAAAGAGGTCAGTACCTCCAAAAATCCAAAAACATCTGTACCATGCCTAATCGCGAAGTTGAAAAAAGTGGAAAATTTGTAATAAAACAGTGTTGTTAAAAAGGAAACGGAATCTAAAAATGGCTTATGGATGTCTACTGTATGTGTCGGAAAAAAGAAGAAAGTGGGGGAATGTATGGTAAATTGTCCAAGATATAGGAAAAGTCCACCTACAACCTACAACCGTGTGTATCGGAATCACACTGCCGAAAAAACCTTATTCCTAAGTGGCGGATAGGACGCTCTGCAATCAAACGGCCCCGTCAGACATCGCGCGTCCTAGACCTTGTGCTTTCCTCAGCGCAATCAGACATCGCAAACTTAGCTCTTATCGAGCTCATTGACAGAAGTGATCTTTGTGCTGTTTCTTTTCGGTGGTCTCGTCGCTTCGCTGTCCACAGCCAATGTACCGACCGTCGGAATTTCTGGCGTGTAGATGCACTTCGTTTGAAAACGGCTGTAAGCATTGTGCGGGAAGGGCTAA